CCCCGCAGCACAAGGCGAAGGGACCAGTAGCATTCCACACTCCCACAGTCCTGTGAATTCACAATCTTGGCTGGAAAGGTATTTTCTCTATATATTTATACCATGGGAATGCCATGGGAAAAAAAAAGAAAAAAAAAAAAAAAAGTGGCTAAGCAACAAAGGAAAGCTCAAGATGAGGCCACCTTAGCTGTTTGGCAAAAATTAAGTGAACAAGGTGCTGAAGAAATGAGGCATATCCCCGTTAACTGTGAAATAAAAGCAATTTGTTAAAAATATGAAATCAACTACTCTGTGGACAGAGACATGAGACTCCAGGATAACACTGAGCACTTGCCACTCCACAGATCAGACAATTTGCAATCATTACATCATCAAAAATTAATTTTTTTTTTCCTGTCATGGTTAAAATTTCTTTTTGTCTTTTCTTCAACAATGAAGGCTCTCAAGGGGCCAAGGACAGAGCAGGTCAAACCAGGTTGTACTCCTTCAGGTTGAGCTGTAGGATGGTGTCCTTGACAGCCGCGAAGACGAAACGGATGTTTTCTGTGTCTGTGGCACATGTGAAGTGGGAATAGATTATTTTGTCGCTGTCTGGATTTAAATCCACAAACATCTTGAGGATGAACTCCCGGGCTGCCTGTGCATCCCTCTGTGGGCCTGCAGCAAACAAGGGAACACGGTCAAGGGATGTGCACGGAGAAGTGCCACAAGAATTACCAGGGCACTTTTTCTTATGGGCTATGGGGAGATTTACATATATATATATATATATATATATATAAATAAATAAACTTGTTTATTGCACAGAAGTTCTGGGACCTGAAGTATCTTATGCTTTTTAATTAACTAGCCAACACCCACAAAAGGTATTTTTCCAGGACAGAGTTTTGACAGACTCCAAGGTGTTGGCTCACACCGTACTCTGAAATACGGAGCTCGGTGTAATCCAGTATACGTGGTGGTGCTGTATATGTGCCACAATGCTCTCCTTTGGAGCTGGAATGCATATTTCTTAATAGACAGATCTCATGCTCCAAAAGACACGAGTTTACCCTGTGCAAACATGAGAGACCTTCAGTCAACACTGCAGTCTGTCCCAACTGGCCGGGCAACACACAGCGGCTAAAAACAGTAATTTTAGCTAGTATTTATTTTATATTGCTAACAGCTCCGCAGAAAGAAAGTCACTTACTGATATTCCTTCCATTTGGCGTGTTCTCACACCCTCCATTGCAAGGATCATCTCTCAAGAGGCAGCTTTATATGCTGAAAGCACACTGTGCTTTCTAACGTCACTGTCTTGTCTCAGATGCTAAATTACATTGGAATTGTGCACTATTTGGCCAACAAGCTAACGACAGCTCACCAGCCACACACACCCTGCTGCAGAAATTGTGGCCATTTTCCACAACTGATGACTTCAGAATACCTGCATTTCCAGACAGCAGGGGGCATAAGACTCCAGAAGCGGAAGGACAACTAATTAGGAGCAATTTCATTAGTAGCTTAAATGAAGCACTGTTTGCAAAAGGCAAGTCTCCCTTTCTTCTGACATTAAGAGGGATTTTTTCCCCATCTCTAGAGCTGAGTTYTCTTTAAAAAGAAACAAGAGATAGAAACAAACCTCCTTCCTAGATTGAGTATTCCTCCTTAAAATGCACTCACCATCAAATTCTGGGAAATAGTCAACAAGATGAGAATACAGGATCTTGTCTTCCAAAAGATCTTTCTTGTTGAGGAAGAGGATAACAGAAGAGTTTTGGAACCAGGGRTAAGTGATAATGGTACGAAAGAGGGCTTTACTCTCTTCCATCCGGTTCTGAAATGAGGAGAGAAAAAAGAAAATATTTAATTGCACATATGAGGATCAATTGAACTTTCTGCTAATTGCACTCAATCACACCTGCATCAGTGCAACGACGTGGACTCATTTGGGTCCCAGAYAAGTTCTGGCTTCAGTTGATCGAGGTAGTGAAAGCAAATGCTTCACTTTCGAGCTTCATTTAACTGGCAAGTTGTTAATTCCAGGAGGCTTAGAAGTCGTTTTATGCTTTGCACAGTCATGTTGGAGGGCTGGCCATGATACCGTGCAAACCGACACACATCTTGTCCAGCACAAAATAAAAACGTAACTGCTGTCACACAACAGCATTTTTAAATCTATCAGCAGGTGTAAAAACTCAGTATTGCTCCTTCAACGAGGGCAGCAGCCAACAGGGCAGCAGCCACAGTGCAAAGCACTCCAGGTGAGGAGCAGCGAAAAGCAGCAGCGGGCATTTTTTGGGCATGCCTTCACATTGGGAAGTACCATTTTCAGAGCATGAGAAGTACAGATAATTCAAGTATCCCATGCATTTTCCATTCTCAGGCACACCATGACCCAGCGAGGCTCATGTTCCCTTTGAGAAAGGGAGGAGCAAAGGCCCAAACCCACAGCAGTCCTTGCGGATGCAGCTCCCAGAGGCAGGAGGGACATTCTCCCTTTCCCCACCCTGCTGAAGGGCTCCCGCTCTTGCGCTCACCTCRTTGTCAGACTCCACCAGAACTTGGTCATATTCACTAAGTGCTACTAAAAACATGATGGAAGTCACATTTTCAAAGCAGTGGATCCACTTCCTTCGTTCTGACCTCTGGCCTCCAACATCCACCATTCTATGGAACAGAAATACATATGTGGTGTCACAGGAGTGGCTGCAATTCTTTGTCTGAATTCAYAGCGCCAACGTGCAGTGAGAACAAAAGCTCTTTACAGTTCAATTTATACTGACAGGAGGACAGAGCAACATGTGGTCACTAACAAAGCCGCCGAGTTTACAGAATATCCTGTTCCAGAGATATATTGAACTGAAGAGACAGCCAAAGGGGACCAATACCCAATTAAACCCCCAATCTCAGCATTACTATTTCTAATTGTACAGTGCACTGATTAAGTAGCTAATTATGTCCAAAAAGACAAATCTTTCAAAACCCTGCTCTGTTAAAATACAATTCCGTATTTTCTATTAAAGCACTTTTTTCACCTTAAAGCATCTCTCGGAGAACTTCCTTTAATTATTACCCGTTTTTAGAGTGGAAGCTTTGCAAACCAGCCTGTCAGTTTTAAGTCAGACACGTAGGGTAAAATGATTTTGTCCCCCAGCTGAAGTTCAACACAGCTGGTCTAATCTGTGCAGCTTTACTAAAATTCTACACCTATCTCATAGATGAGCAAACTGTAACAGGTAAAGTGACCGCTTGTCTGTCTGTAACGCAGAGGATTCAGAGAGCGGATGGAGGCTTCGTTACTGCTTTATTCCTCCTCTCTGCATGTCAGCAAGGCAGAGAGCAATCCCTGCTGGACGGTTAGTCCCTTCTAAGCTCCGCTGGCTCCAACGCACACTCTGTTTTATGACAGGAAATGGCTTCAGCTCGGAGCTTTCCCTTAATCAGGAGGAAGCGTTACATCATTCCCGTTCCAGGAGCATCTTGCAGCAGATGCATCATAACATTACAGGGCACACGTCCGCTCCAGCCTCTCATCGAGCCGCTTGGACACAAAGGCAACACAAAGCTCTGCCTTCCTGAACCCCCTTCTGCCCTGCCTCGCTTCAGCTGCGACACGAACACACTTCAGTACCTGAAGATAATATTCTCTAGGTCAAAGGGGTACTCTATGATGCCGGTTGTAGGAACTCTAACCCGTAGCACGTCTTGCTGAGTTGGTAGATATCCTGGGGTAGCGATGCGATCCACGTCGCTAAGATAGCTACAAGAACAACGGAAAACTAACTTAGATTGCAGCCCATCACACACAAATGCTGCCACGTTGAGTCTTCTCCGAGGACAGCAAAGCGGCCAGAAATCATCTGAACTGTTCTAAAAAGTGATGCAAAAACCAACAGTGTACTTCCTTGGGGAGCAGTAATTTACGAGTCAAATCCCTTGGAGGATAAACAGACACATCAGGAACAACTTTAGCAACTTTGTGTCTTGAGGAAATAGAAGCAAACCTTCTCTACAGAGGAGGTTCAAGCGCACTGGACACATGTTGGAATTAAGTTTCACCTGCCATGCTTTCATATAAAGGAAACTATGTTATCTGGCACAGGTGATATCTTCCTGGCCTTCCTATACTTGGGTTTTGTTAATAACAAATCCACAAGTTAAATATCCAGGTAGATCTACAGGGCAAAGGACAAACTTGAAGAGAAAAAGCAATACTTCTAACACATGAACCTGAGCACAGATAACACAAGGTGGAGACTCCTGGCTCGGGTATATCCAGATGCAGAGGTTTAAATAGTTGCCTTTATTACCCACCAGAACACTTGATATACTCAAGAGAAACTAGCAAATAGCAAGGCATTTCCAGATCTAAATCTGTCCCTGGGAAAAAAAGAACAAAAAGCTTCTCCTTTCCCTCAGAGCTCGTTACCTCTATCTGGCAGAACTAAGTTTAGGAAAAATTAAGATGAAAAAGCAACCCCGGAMAAGCAGTGGCAACAGAGAACTGCAGCCTGGTTTGAATCTGGTTCCAGAAAGGCAAAACATCACATATATACATGGGGGTTTTATCCCAAAACATGCACCCAGGAGACCATGCAGCTTGCCTAATATACCAGGAAGACACTTATTGGCCTGGATGCAAAAATAAGATGTACTTAAAGAAACCATATAGTGGAATCCACTGCAGGTATCATTTGTTAAGAGCATCACTGCTATCTACCAATACGTGCCATTATATACTCACTATTTAGCAGAGTCAGAAAGCTGATATTCTCTTCTCCTGTCATAACACTCTTGGATTCCAGGGTCGTTCCACAAGGTCTTAATTGCACTTACATATGGTTGCTCAAATGTCATGACCTTTTCTACGTCCACCTCCCGGATCAGCACTGCATTGGCCTGAATATTAGAAAAGTATCACTATTCATTTAAGAAATGAAATTGCATTTTTTAAAATAGAAGGAATCGGCAAAATYCTTCCAAAGCATCATCTGCTCCTTCGCAGAATAAACTGTAAAATAGCAACAGCCTTCACCTGTCAAGATGTGCTATATCATTGTATCCCCAGGTGTTTATAAACAGTGAGGTTTTCCAAGGCAGTGTTTAGTTTGGAGAGCTCCAAACTGCCCGACTTTTGAGAAGGTAAAGCTGTATTTCAAGAACAAGCTGCTATCTCAGCTTGCTGCTCATTCAGGGTGCCGAGACATTGCTTTAGGGCGTTATAATATCAGTCTCTGCTGAGAGAGAGAATAAAATTGCCTACCCTACAAGCTATAAAATCATTGTAGGACTAAAGGATTAAAAACATTATGACAACCTGTGGAGTCTAGGAGGCACCTATCCATACCAAGCTGCTTTCTGGAAACGGTGGTAGACAGAGATTAGATACACAAAGACTGATGTTGCCTACACCATGGAGTATCATCCTCACTAGAGGAAAACCAGGAAAACAAAGGCAAGTTCTGCATCCATGATCACCAGTGCAAGTCAACACATTATAGTCACCAAAATATCTTCTGCAATGCCTCTGGAAAGCGCAAGAAAATAACTTCACTCAATGAAATACAATGTCTCTGTCCCTCAGGTAGAAAGTGGCTTTATTCCTTAACATAACTTAGTGAACAGAACCACGTATCAATAAAGCATCATAAAAAACAGCCCTTAAATATAAAATACTTATGGAGAAGAGCTCAGGGAGGTTAGGATTATAATGTGCAAGGGCACAAAAGAACRGGAACCTACAAGTCAAACCCTAGAMCTCTCCTCACCTAAAAAAAACCACACCAATTTTGTCAGAAACGCACCTTGTTCTGTTCGTATTTGTAGAGAATCTTCAGGGTTTCCATGGCCCTAATCATAGACTGCATGGCAGTGAAGATGTTCTGGTATACCAGCTTGGTGAAGCCTTTCTTGTCCTCTTCAGAGTATCCTGAGCCATGAATTATGCGCATCTGCTTAATGAACGTGCTCTTCCCGCTCTCGCCAGTGCCTGCGGGACACAAGAGCAGAAGTCAGCAGATAGAGCAAGCCTTGCTTGGGACGGAAGAAACAAAGCCAGCATCGCGTTGGACCTCACAGTTCTCATTGCCGCATCCCAACGCGTACAATCCTACCACCTACTTTTCCAGCAGCTTCCCAGGAGCCTGGAAGCCGGTCCGCACGGTCCTGCTCGCTCCCACCATGAACCCAGCGAGCATGGCAGGCAGGAAGACATCTTGTCCCTTAGAGCAGACCTCAAACGCAGCTCTGGTACTYGCTCCAAATCTCACGTTACAGCCACTCCCACGGGTCCTGCGTCAAGAGGCCCCGGGCCGTCACACCTGACCTATTCCCAGATACTCCTGCAAGATGCTCCAGTCACCGCAGCGGCCGGCGCGCGCCCACATGCGCTCGCACGTTAGCAGCTACTGCAAGYCAAGGGGACAGCAAGCAGGAAAGCTATTTGCGTGACAAGGACCACGCTGGCTTTCGCTGTGATTTGGTACCAAATGCCCTTTACCTTATAGGCTAAGTATCCTTATACAGAAAAGAATGCAAGAGCAGGAAAATCAGCTCTACAAGAAAACTCAAAAAATCCCTCCTTCATCCGTTTGACATGAGGAATCGACTCGGTGCATCTTCTTAGTGACCCGAACCTCTGTGCACCAGTTCCTGTTAAGAACTGCAATGGGAATCCTCACCGCAGCCAGACCGTTTGTGCTGCCACACCAGCCCCCCGGCACCCTTTGGATGTGACGGAGCTCAAACCGGGCCCGGAAGGGAGGGAGAAGCAGGCTGCTGCTGCTGGCAGCTGACGGGCAGCGCCGCTCAGCGGGGCGGGCAGCTCGGCGCGCGGTGCCTGCGCAGAGCTGCCTCTCGCAGCAGCCGGGGCCGAGCAGAGATGTGCCAGTGCCCGCGGGCTGAGCGGCCCCCTTTCCAAGCTGCCTCCCGCTCRGGCAGCTGGGCGCTCACCCTGATTTTTACGGCTCTAAAAAGTCAACAGGTACAGGAGAAGGCTGGTGGAAGACGCAAAGACAGCGCACTCCAGATATGGGGAGCACAAGGGGGGAAAAGCATCAACAGAGAAGAGAATATCCAGCCTCGTTTCACTCACGAGTCCCCTGGTGTTGTGGAGCTTCCCCAGCTACTTCCACTTTGCTTGTGCAGAATTCACAGACCCTGTCCCCCTTCCACGGAGGGGACACGAGGACCAGGTCTAAAACACAATTAGCCACCTCTAGGCTTTCATCCCAAGGCATTTCCACGGGGCACTCCTGCTCAGCCTCCCCAAATTTGCCATTGCTGTGCATTTCACAGAAAGCTAATCCAGAAAAACGGCTCTGTACCAGGAAAGTGCCCAACTCCCTCGATTMCCGGGAGCAGAAACACTAAGCGTGGCTCATCAGTGACGCTCCTTTTGATCTCTGCTTACAAACAGAGAGGCTGGCAGGGCCCTGGCTTCCACCGCAGGAACCACCAGGTATCCACCTCACTCCAGGGCACAGATCTATCACGGCAGCAACTCATTCATCACAACTCACCAGCACTCCTCAGGGGTGGATTTTCAATTACCCCTGCTTATAGTACCAGGCTAGGAGGCCAACAAACACAGACAAGCAGCAGGAAAAAGAAATGCAACTAGAAGCACTGAGTTGCAAAGAGGGAAACTCTCCTCATCTCCGGGAATCAACAACATTTTTGGCAACCTCATTAGGAGCTAGCACCAGAGCCACCATTAACCTGCACTAAACCACCTCTATCCCAAACAAAAAGCTCTACCACAAAGGGGTAAAAAAATACAAGTCGGAAACCGAAATCTTCTGTGGTTAAGCACGCTGTGGTGAGAAATACTTCCTTGTTTTTTTACCACAGTGACCAAAACAGAGAAAAGTAAGAAAAAAAAAAAGCCAGAGGTGCCTCAAAGCATTCCGATAATGCAAATGCGAAAGAAATTTCAGCACCATCCATTCCCTTCGGATCCCACTTGCTCCGAAACACAGATTCTGCCTGTCACTTCATCATCGTTCCTCCTTTTTAAGGAAAAGGGGGAAAAGGCAGGGGCAACCCCTTGCTTTTCTGAAGGCCACCACCAAGGCAGACTGCAAGCTCGGCGGAGCCAAACGTTCTGCTGCAGTGGTGCTCTCCTGCGCTCATCAAGGCACAATAACCTTCTTCAGGTGATTTAGGCTGTCTCCTCAGCATTACGAGGAGGAGACAACCCRAACTCACCATTTTTTTCTATCAGCTTATCAGAGCTGCAGAGATTACAACAGGTTCCCACCGTCCCACAAGTACCCGGCAGACCCTTGCAAATACATTTATTCAGTCAATAACATCCCATGCTCAACAGCAACTCCAGAAGCCAAGTAATTTGGGGGTATTCCCTCCCCTCCAACACACACACATCCCAGGAAAGAGACCACAACTGCCTAACACCAGGAGAAATGTCAAATATCTCGCAAACACATCCGTTACTGCCAGGTTCACGGTACAGCTCTGCTATTCCTCAGTTCAGGTTTTTGCTTTAGGCTTCAACAGACCCACACATGCCAGAGAAGATGGGAAAAATGACCACAGCTTTTACAACGCAGAGGCTCTTTTCAAAATTCTGAGCATTTAGAAAAAGCTCTAATGTAATTATTCATATCTGTAAACACGAGAACTCTAGGAACAAGACACACAAAATTCCTGTAAATGGCAATTACGGCAAGGAAAGAAAACTCGTGTTATGTGCAGCACCTTCAGACAYGCAAGTGAGCAACGTGGAACACAACGAAAAAGCAAATGAAAGAGCAAACGAAGCAAGGCCTTTCTGAACACAGCCTGAAACTGGGAATGCTACTTAGCCCAACCACCCCACATTGAGGATTTTTTCTTTTTAAATGAGACGCTGAATCTTACTTAAGAGTCTCTTTTACAGGGGAAAAAAAAAAGTCTCTAGAGGAACTTAATTTAAGATTAGATGGGGGAGCTTCCTAGGCCTGATCTTGCCCATGGCTCCAACCTACTTTGAAGCAAGTAGGTTTTCTAGCGGGGCGTTTCGAAGGAGCATCCGAGCCCCAAAGCCATTTCCCGGCCTGTGTGAAGCCGTACGGACKCTATACGGAACCCAAGCAGCGCCTCCGAAGCGAGCAGGGTTTCGCCCTCCCGGGGGAGGGCAGCGGCCCCCCGAGCGGCGGCAGGGCCGCGGGCACCCCGCAGCCGCCGGGCGCCGGCCCCGGGCCGCCCGCTCGTCTTCCCCGGCTGCCTTTCCGCCCGCTTCCCCGCTCCGCGCAGCCCGGCAGGCAGCGAGGCCGGGCGGGCGGCGGCGGGGC